TGAAACCAATCCCATGGAGCAGTGTCCAGACCTCCCCAGTGAAGAACCTTACAACCACCACAATGCTTCTGTGATGGGATCACCTACCCTAGATGAATGTGGCTTCCTGAAAAAGAGTCCTGTTGACAGTGACCAGCATATTCTGACCTGCTGTAGATAACTGGGCGGGGGGTGGCAGAGGTATACATATTTTTGGATTTTCTTTTCCCTTCTACCAGAACTTGAAACAATCTTTGAAGCTTAGGTTTAGGAATAAGCTATGGTCTCCTTTGGCACTGCTGTCAATGCAGCCAACCCTCCCTCAGAGCAAGGAAATTGCATGGATTTTAGGAAAGACTAAAAATGTCACTTACTCCCAGGCACAAGGAAGAAGCCCTTCCCTGTGGGCCCACTGAAGCCCATCAAACAGAAGCCTCTAGTTGTATGAAGCTGGGAAGACACACTAGCCTCTGAGACAGTAGCTAGCTAAGATTCAAGTGCCAAGGCAGCCAGTGTGGCTGGAAAGGTAATTTGGGATTGTACCAATGTCATTCCTTGCTTACAGGCATTTTAACTCTGGACATTTTCAAACACCTGAACCACTTTCAGATTATCTCTCAAAAGTCTTATCTCTGCCCAAAGCTCTGACCAAAGGAACCTAAGCTTTAGTGCAGAACGACCTTCACCAAGAAAGCTTTGAGGGACACAGCTTGTTCAGAGCAGCAGGGCCACAAATCTAGTTCCAGCCCTGAATGGGGCTAACCCATAGTTAACACGGGGTTGGTTAACTCCAAGTCACATCCTCCAAGCTTTCTGGACCCTGCTAACCACTGGCAATTCTCTGAGGCTCTTCTACAACCTAACACCAGGAGCTGCTCTGGCACCAGACCACAGTTGAAAGGGTTGGTTTATTGGCAGTGCAGTCCCAGCTTATAGAAACCCAGCACAATTAAGTGGGCTGCAGGGGTAGAGAAGGAAGGAGGAGACAAAAATGATTTTCAGAAATGGACTCCTACAGCCAGCTTCAGTCCCAGTGAGGAGTTTTGTCCTGCCCTATCACGAAGTGGATGCTGGAAGAAGAGCCTGTATAACATATATATGTATATATAAACTGTGCCTGCACCCAGTGAGCAAGAGGTTTTGGCCCCTGCTCTCTGGGCAGCAGAAGGGCTAGGGAGGCTGATAAGCTGCAACAAGCCGGTGTGAGGAGGAGAAAGGCACGAGAAGAGAGCAGCTCTTCAGAGACTGCTGTCAGACGTCTGGCTGGGGGGAGGAGGAGAGCTCAAATCCACTCGGTTCCTTGAGCCCCTGATGCCGATGGAACGGGGAAACCAGCACTGCACCAACTCCACTGGTGCATCCAGGAGGCAACCTGGCGACTTCCTTTGGATCTTCAGCTGAGGGCGTCTCTGCTTGGAGGTATCCAGGGCACAGCTTGCGAGGACGGGGAAGGCTGCACAGAGTGCTTCTGGCCCGAAGGCAGGGCGAGAGGGGGAGCGAGAAATCCAAGAGGGAGAAGGCTAGGCAAACACAGCAGGCCTCATGCTTCCTTCAGTAAGGGAATATCTGAATGGTAGGGAGAGAGAAGAAAAAGGAGTCAAACTTCGGCAGTTCAACACTTACCAGCAAAACTACGGCTGAAAGCAAGACAGGCTTCCCAAAATTCCATAACGTGATAATGCAGCAGGGTCTTCCTGTCATCACAAGACAGCAGAAGGGACCTCTGAAGGACCCTGGACACCTCTTTTCAAAAGCTCCTCTGATGCCTGACATACATAGGAGCATCCCTTGCCGCTTTCATCCTAGGTAGTCAACTGCAGAACCTACTCTTGGAGAGGTCTCCCTGCCCAGGTCACGTACCATCTGTGTATTCCTCCGAGGAAGTGAGGGATAGAAGGCTCTGTATGTCACTGCTTTCTGAATCTGGGACCTCTTTGTGTGCGGGTCTACTGCTGGCCATGCCAGCTACCCAGGACGAGGTGGCGGCCTGATGCACAAGAACAGTTTCAGAGCGCTGAGAGCCGCTGGCTTCACACAGTCCAGAGTGTCCGGGGGCTTCATCTTCCCTTTCAAAGCTACCGCCAGCCCCTTGGTGCTGCTGCTGCATGTCCCTGGCCCCGCTCTGCCCAGCTCCCTCTGCCAGCACGATCTGCACCCGGGAGTCCGAGGGGGGCAGGCAGTTCCCCGTGCTGCCGTACACGGCTTCCTCGTAGGACGGCAAGGCCACCTGGACACCATCCACCACGATGGAGACCTGATCTCCAGACACGCCTTGGTCTCGCCTCACAGAAACAAAGGGGGAGGAGGAGGGGAAAAGAAAAAAAAAAAAATCAAGTGTTTATATTTTTATATATATGTTATCAAGAACCCCCCAGCACAACTCTAATGCTCACTGTTGACTTATTTAGGGGACAATGGACAGACACCTGAATGGTGGTTTAAGAAGGTCAAGCAGCCACAGCCTGGCAGCCCTCCTGTGAATTGCCACAGACACGAGCAGGGGCCATACTTCAGTCCCTGATGGATTTATCAGCAAGAGCTGAAAAGGTTACAGTGCCTCCCACTTCACCTGACTCCACAGCTAAATCTGACAAAGCTCCTCTGACTCAGAGCCCTCTGCTGTCACAGCCAGCAGACAAACAGGAGCTCTGACCACCACCGATCTCAGCGTGTCACACTGCTCTGTTCTGCAACACCCAGCAGTGCCTGTTCCACCACCTTCGCTCTGGTGGGGTGGGGATGGCAGCTCTTCAGCTGGCACAGTGTGAATCAGCAAGGCTCACCAGCCTGAGTCCTGACACGGAGTCTTTTTCTTTTCCAGTGGTTTGGGCTTCTTCAGAAATGGGCATGCTCCGGGGCCCCACCTCTCCACCTCCACACTGCTGACCAGCTATGCTGTATTTAAGGAGTACTGGTAGCTGGTTTGGAAGAGTTCACAGTGACTCTGTTAACCTCAGCTGGCAGCAGCAGCTGGTCCCTCCTCTCAACCACAAGTCCAGGCCAGGAGGGTTCTCCTCCCACAGCAGGGAGCCCTGGCAGATTTGAACACGTATCTAATCATCAGTACTGGCTGAACTTGTGTCCACAGGAGCTCACAGGCTGTGGGAGACCCATATACACACACCCCCCCAGATACCTCAGTAACTATCCAAGGGGAGAAGAGGCAGATGATTGATCTAGAGCCAGGCTAGTAGAGACCATTAACTTTTCACATTCAAAACAAAGGGAAAAGAGGAAGGAAATCACTCATCAGGTGACAGGTTATGATGGGGACTGCAGCTGGGTATCACAGGCCACCACTTCAGACTGGTGCTGGACCATGGGGCAGAGGTGCCCCTGAGGCGATTAGAACAGGACCAGAGGAGCAAGGAGGCAAGTTGCTCCAAAATGAAGGCCTTAAACTAAGCACCTTAATGGGTTTCTGCTGCAAAGAAACAGGAGTCCCTCCAAACCCCAGCCTCACTTACCTGCTGTGATGGAACGACTTCAGCTTTGGCTGCAGCAGAACAAACAGCACCACCAGGAGCAGGATGAGGGCGACGGAGCTTGCTGTGGAGGCTACTATGGACAGCGTGGGCACCCCAATTGCTGGAGGAGAGTCCTTTTCTACAAAGTCAAGAGGAACACAAGGTAAAGTGATCTGCTCCCTTAAATCACTGCACAGGGAAGGAAAAACGTCCACATTGGTGGCTCTCAGGAGCTACGCTTGGGTGCAGATGTGAGGAGCCCAGGTTTCCCACACAGTCCAGGCACACCAGCTCTCTCTTAGAGAGGACAGTTCAGAGCTCAAGTTGACACCTCTCCATCAGCTGTAAAGGGAACCTAAAATAAAGCATGTCCATACAAAGGCCTTTGAAAAAACACAAGGCACACAGAAGAGCAGTGCAAGCAGGCCACGGGTACTGATAGATGGTGGTAAGGGTCCTGTTGTATATAGATCTGGCTGAGCAAAGGCTAAAAGACATCCTGATGTCACCAGCATGGCCCATAATTGTCTAGCACAATAAGCAGGATATTTTAGGCCAAACATTCGGCAAAGTTCTAAATAAGGGTTTTTCTTGGCTATAGAACAATCTCCCAAAGGAAGGGGTGGAAGTCACCTGGCTGAGTGTATTTAAGATGCAGCAAATATTACTACTTGTCTGTTATACAAAACATGTGCCAGGGAACAGAGGGCCAGCAGATGTTGCTTCAGGATGCTGAGTTTTCAGTGTCAGGTACATGTGCCTTGTTCACAGTACCCCCTTCCCACCTTCCATATCAGTATCTAAAGGGTGGGTATCAAGAGGATGGGGCCAGACTCTTTTTAGTGGTGCCCGGTGATACGACATGAGGCAACAGAAACTGGAACATAGGAAGTTCCATCTAAATATGGAAAGAAAAAAAAATAAGGAAAAATAAAAAAGCTGGAGGACCACTGTTTTTAAGCCTACAGCCTGAAATCTATGCCCAAAACAGGCATGTAAGCTGGAAAGGCAGTTTGCATTTTCTGCATCTTCTCTTGGAGTCATAACTACTGGTTTAGTAGTTTTGAACTTGTTTCCTGAAATTCTTCAGAAGTAGCTTGACTTCTCCCCAGGCAAAACACTTCTGGTCCATTTTTCCCTGTGGCAGACAGGGCTGAGTAAGGGTTTCCATTTTCAATATTACTCAGTGCACTTTGAGTACACAGATTTACTCTATAAGCAGGTGGGATTTTACCAACCATTTTAAAGGCCTACTGCCTTTCTCTCTATAGTCTTCCACCTCCTCCTGTTAGCTCTTTCACAGACCCACTAGTTAAACCACCTTGGCCATCTCTGCCCTGACCAGTTGTCTCAATGCCCATGCTGTGAAAGCAATGACTTCTTCACACTGGGTCATACTTTTGATAAGGCCACAGGTACTTCAGGGTGCTAAAGAGATCTGAGGGATTTCTGCTCATCACACTACAAACCTTTCAGCCACCATGCAGGACTGGCACCCAGGGAACGCTACTTGTAAGAACACAGCTTTGTTCTCCAGCCTGGGTGCAGCGTGGGGAAGGGGGACCACTGTGGAAAAGAAGCCTCTTCAGGATCTAGTTAGTGTCAGGTAAACTCCCAGTTTGGGCTGTTGGAGTGGCTGTGACCGAGACACTGAGAAGACAGAGTCTGTGGTCCAGGACAGCATGTTCCATAGATCACAGGTATGCACTGAGCTCCATAAGGAGCTTGGAGAAGGTGCTTTTCCCTTTCCTTCCAAATTAAACTAACACATTTTGCTTTATGGATTACAAGACTTAATTCCAGAGTGTACATCTTGCTGACTCAGGATGACTGAGCAGAAAAGACTCTGTGAAGAAGCCAAACTCGAAGCAGGAATTCTCCCTTCATCCAGAAGAGCCACAGGCAAACTAAGATGAGCACCTTCCTGAAAATCTTTTTCTTTTCCTGCTTTGCTGGAGGAATTCCTGTTCAGCTGGGAGGGACCCACAAAACAAAAGCTGTCCACTTCCCTTTGGAGAGAAGCAGAGATCATTTATGAGCAATGTCCTTTCTGGCCACTGCAGTGAAGAGCAGCACCATGGAGCTCCTCGTCACAGGGGGCCAGCAGCTACTTCACCCATTTGTGAGGGAGATCAGCTCTATGTGCTCTCACACGTGCACGTGTGGACAGATGGGTGCCACCACTGAGGGAGATGGACTGCCAAACCCATCAGGAGCAAAACCCTTCAGTGAGGGCCTCCCCCGTCTCTGGGATGAGAGATGCCACAATAAGAGGCACCACATAAGTAAGAAGATGCCTCCTGTGTGGGTCATCTCCTTGTGTGAGGGACTCTGGGCCTGCATCCGATGGGCCGTTACAGAAGAGCCTTTTTAAATCAGGAGCTGTGGCTGTGAGCTGCACTCGTGAAGCTGCTGGAGCCCCGAGAGGCAGCTGCAGGAACCCCCCAGCACCCCACAGATGCTGTGTTTAAGGATGAACTGAGAAGCCAAGGCACAGGCAATTCTGCCTGTCCTGCTGGAGCCAGGGAGCACTCACCCGGGCTGAGCCTGCAGCTGACTTCCATGGCTGGGTTCCACTCCCCATTCTTGCAGGTCAGGTACTTGTAGTCCCCTTTCAGCATGTAGCCCTCGACGCACAGGTACTCTATGACGCTGCCCGAGGTCAGGGGGTTGTTGCAGGGGCTCGGGTGACATTTGTAGCCTCCATTCTCAGGCTGTGGTGGCTGGGGACAATCTGGGGACAAAAAAAAAAATAAAAGGCATCATGGAGGATCTCTCAGACGTCTGTTGCACAATAAATAGGGCATATAGGCAGACTTCCACCTACAAACACCTGCTAAATTAAACTACCAAAACTGAGAAGAAAGACTGTTAGACAGTGGCAGAGAACACTGCTCAGTTTAGCCTCTGACGTGTCTTCTGTGACTGCTAAATACTATTTGTTAGCCCAGGAGCACAATCTAGTTGCCAGGCATCAAACTGGTGATATTTTTGAACAGTGATACAACAGATTCCACAGGAGAGAGGCCCAGAAAATCCTTGGTGCTATCTTTTCCCCACAGCTGTTCCTCTAGAGACCCAAGGCAGGGGGAGAACCTAACAACCAGGCTTTCCTACTAGCCTGATATGGAGAAAGTGAGACCTACTGAAACACATGAAGACTGCAAACACCCCACTGTACTATAGGTACAACAGCAAGGGACAGAGCTACCCCTTAAGGCACCTTGGAAGCCTGTAAGAGCACACTGATTTTAGTTGTTTTTACAGAGATATGACACCAGAAGTGTGGGAAACAGCTTTGCTGCAGTAGGAGCGAATTTTCTAACCTTATTTTTTTTTTCCTAATAGGGATTAGTTAAAGACATTTCTAAAAACCCTTCTGGTTACATATGGAAAGTGCCTTCAGCACTTCATTTTCCCTTGCATCTCCCCTATCCTGACTAACAGGTATAGACACAGCACGTCAAACTTCCTTGTAGAATTTTCAGTAGCCATTCAAATTATAAAAAAACCCAAACAAATACCAAAAAAACAAACCACCACAAATGAGGAAACTGCACTGAAAACAGGATGTTTGTATTACTCAGAATTTCCTCTCCTCTAGCAGGTCACAGTGACACTGCAGAGTAGCCCCAACACCCTCTGACACTACCACTTATCTGGTATATGGCTGGAAAAGGGAGAAACTCAGACACTTTTTCCATTTAAATTCACATCAGCTTTTCAAACTTCACAAAGGAAAATACATCAGAGACCCTTCTTGAGATATTCTGGGGCATGGAAAACCAGCCAACCCACCCACCCAATTCCATCAGAGCACAGAGGTCCAGACCCTGGAGCACACACTCCACATTCTGCCTCTGAAATGTGCCACTCACCGTGGGACAAACAGCCAGAAAGAGCTGGGAAACTTTAAAAGTTTTAAAACTTTAAAGAGTCATTCCACTGTGGAAAATTTGCTACCCTGCTGCAGTGCAAGTGACCCTTGAACCTAATCACATGTGTGAATGCATCATAGGCAGTGCCTTGTAAATGCCAGTAAACCCCGAGATGAAGTGCTGAGTGAAGCCAAAACCCCTCTGGTATGAGTTCTGCCAGCTTTATAACTGCAATTCAATTTACTTCTCAAGAGAAAAGGTTAACAGGGGTCCAAGCAGCAGCTTTTCAAGAAGACTTTGTTCTTGAGGAGATTTATTCTTCAACAAGCTTCTGAGAAGCCACTGTCTGGTGCCTCACATGTACTGTTACCTCTTCCATGTTTATTTTTCTTTTCTGCAATAATTTCCCATTTATAACTAAGATTTTAACCCTTTCCCTTATGAGGCTTTCACTTGAGGCCTGTCCAACACCTAGGGTGAGCTGGGACCAGCTGATGCAATAGATTCTTGGCACATTTCACATCCAGGCACATAGACAAACGCTTCACCTGCAGCCCAGGAGAGGGGTTTCTTGCTAAACTGCAAACAGTTTGAGTGCCAGAAATACTCTCAGCAATTTAAAATGTACCTCTCCAGGCAATGGTAGAGAGTTGTGGTGAAAAGCTGCTGCTGCCACGACTCAGGAGCCAAGAGGACAATGTCCCCACACCTTTTTATGCCACAAGGAGGTACCCGGAATTGCTTGGGAGCCAGACACAGCACCTTTCTGCTAGCTGTAGCCAACGGGGCTCATTCCCACTGTTGCCCCTTCTCCTGAGCTGTACCCACACGTGACCACTGCACCAGGAGCCCTCTTGGGCCAGGCAGCAGCTCACTGTTAAGATTCCCCTTCTATCATAAAGTGCCACTTACACTGATGAGGTTTCTTGAGTTATGTGCAAAAACCAGCCAGCCAACAAGAAATAAGCACTCATTTGCATTGGAGTGGTGCTCTCAAGGGCTTGGAAGGGCCACCACCAGTCACCTACAGAACACAAGGGCTTCAGGAGAGGCACAGCTCCACAACTGCAGATTGGTCTCCTCCTCACCTCCACAGGCACTTGGCACACAAAAGGAGAGAAGCAGCTGACAGCCTGCTCAATCAGTTGTCCCCACTTGTCCTTTTCACACAAGGAAGGCACTGAAGAATTAGTTACCCTAGTTGGTTTTTTTCCCCCTTTCTCCACCTCCTCAGGTCCTTTGTCATCACAGCATCAAAGAGCGTCACAATTTTTTTTAAAATGTCACCTTCACTGTGACAGAACAGCACTGCTTCTGTACTGGGGAAAGATTAAGAACCCCACAAGCTGGATCAGGCAGCCAGAACATCGATACCCTCCACCTTCAACCTGATTGAGCTTCTCTGGGCAACAGAAGCTTCTCTGATAGACCACCTGAACTGTCCTTTGCGAGGCAGCCTCAGGGGAACAGAGCATCTCAGAGCCTGCAGCTTGGGAGAAGGCTACTAGACAGTGTGGATAGCTTTGAAGTTTGTGGGAGGTGGCCTGAGCAAGGGTTGAGTGGGTAAAATGGACTGGTGGTGACTGAAAAACAATGAGGAAGTCAAACACCTCTGCTCCCTGCTGGACCAGCTCCCTTTCCCTGGCGTCTCTGACAGACTCAGCACCTTTGCAAACCAGGGCCCAGCCCAGTGTAACACAAGCACCCAGAAGGCTCAGGACAGACCACATAGCTTTCCACTGCAGCAACCTGCTCCTGAGTTTTCAGTGCCCTCAGCTTTCACCCGCTCCATAATGGGCTTCTTCTGCTGCCTCCATACCTGTGCTCTAAACTGGGGCTAGCAGGAGAAAAGGTAGGGTCTGACTCTGCACAGCCTTCATCTCACCAACCAGCAGCAGCAAAGCTCATCCCCTGAGCCTGCAGCACTGGTACACCCCTGGCAACAGGCAACCAGGCAGGGCAGGACACCTCCCACTTTGGGCAGAATAAACCACTGACAGACTGGGACGAGAAGAGCTGGGTGCCAGCTGCTGCCAAAACACGTGTCCAAAGCATGTCCTGCTCCTGGCTGTGCTCTGTGGCCAGAAGGAGCAGAGGGATGGGAAGAGCTGCCTGTGGTGTGAGCTGTTCCTGAGCACTCCAGAGTGTGGTTGTGCTGGATTTGGGAGTACTGTACTGGATTTGGGAGCAGCATGACCCAGCTCACACTTCCCAGAGAGCTGCTTGGGGCTGTTCAACCCTCAGCCCAGAGTGCTGCTGTTCGGATATTACTTGGCCACACTGGTGCTTTTTGAGGCATGAGAATTAAACCACAGAGCAGGGCCTTTCAGTACTTCAGCCCCAACTAAAGCTGGGCAGATTTCGAGGGACACAGCAACTGTGACCCCCAAGTTTACTCCTCGCACATTTCAAAGCTGCGTGGCACGTACTGGATATACTGAAACTTCCCAAAAGGTTACAAGAATTCCTTTAAATCTGTGGGACACCAAGTACATATATTGTAACAATAGACCTCTTTCTTTCCCAGGAGCATCAGCCCACACTCACAACAGCACCGGCTTAGATCAGAAACACAAAGAAACATGCAGGAAATTCATCAATTCCTCCCTGAAACACATGTTCTTGGAAGGATCTCAGAGCTTAAAAGACATCTAAAACGAATGTTCACGCCAGGCAGGGAAGAGAATGAAAGCCAAGTTACAGAAGTTATCAACTTCCTGCAGGGTTACCCACGTCCCAGGCTCACAAAGCTATTCCCAGCATCTTCATTCATCCAGCTTTGAGGACACAAAGAAACAGTGGGTTTGAAATTCTGCATGCAGAGAGGCAGAGCTCTACTCCAAAAGGCCTCGTTTCTAAGAGGTACTGAAGTTTGTGACATCTCCTGAGAGAGCTGGTTCTCTGCCAGCATCCACTGCTGGACAACAGGAAGGAGATAACTGATGAGAAGTCCAAACATTTTGAACACCACCAAACTCTGTTCAGAAGAAACTGTCCCTTCCAAGTTGAGTGGCAGAAACAAAGTTATGCAGTGGAGTTTCTGCAAATGCCATTCCAAAATACTAGGTATTTAATATGTAGACTATTTTCTATATACAAATGATCCACCCAGTTCCCATCAAATCATGGTAAAGCACCATACTAGGTCACAGGAGAAAATACTGTCCTTCAAGGAGGGTTAACTGTTCTTCTGTTCTTTGAATAGCTGTTACCGACTTGACAAAAAGCAGCACAACACTAAGGAACCCCTTTTTTGTGGCAATCACAGTGACATGTTGTACCTTCACGGGCTCCCTTTCCCATGGCTTCACTCGTCGGAGCAAGCTCTGCCTCCTTTCTCTCCTGCCAAATCCACCAACAGCTGTGAGGGGCTGGAACATGGCTTCTTTCAGAGCTAGGAAGATGTATCAGTTGGGCAAATTGATCAGCCTAATCACTAAAGGATGAAATGGATCTTCCGTGTCCTGGAAGAGCTGAAGCTGAGCTGTGGTCCTGCACACCAATCTGATGCAGAGCTACAAAGCATTTCTAACATAAACTAATTGCCACAGAATTATAAAAGCTCCTCAGTACTGACCTTCTTTGCACAGGCACACCACAGTACAAGAGGTGACTGAAAGGCACCTCTCCAAAGTCTTGTTTGCTTGGCACTTCGTGTGTGTTTGGTTTTTTTTCCCCAACTAGTAAGACTCCAGATCCTAGCAGGGATCTTACACCCCTTTTTTCTGCACCAAGCACCTAAACTGTATTCCATTCACACACCTCTTTTGCCAGGCAGTCTGACCACACAGAGATAAAAACCCAAATCCTCTTTAACTGAATGCATTCTTATACAAAAAAAACACCCAAAAACGCA